CGTGGTGCACATTATATTGTTGTCAACATAGGAGGTAACTGCTTTCTTAGAATATGGATTTCCATAGTTTACAATGAGCTGAATGTTCCTGGAAAGAGTATCTAAATTCACGTAAATCCGAACAAATATTCGAGCAGTTGATTTAACTGTATAGGACTTGTTTGTATATTTCTCGTAGTTCTAAGCACGAGTGCTTATGTTTCAAACGCGAAAGCAACGATGAATGTCAATAGTTTCAACAAAACATAGGAAGAGACTCCTCAGTAAGAAAATCGTACCAGATGCAGTGGCTACCCAGGGCAAAAAGAAAGAGTTGTTTTAAAATCGTACCAGCTGCAGTGGCTACCCAGGGCAAAAAGAAAGAGTTGTTTTAAAATCGTACCAGCTGCAGTGGCTACCCAGGGCAAAAAGAAAGAGTTGTTGTAAATGGGAGCACGCAAATGGCATATTGTCGACAGATAGTTGTAACAGTAATAACTATCCGTCGAAAACATGGAATGTTATATTTATGATACCATGCAACAAAAACACGTTTCAGTTAAATTCGATGTAATTTTTGAGCGTCTGGTTCGCTTGCATTAGCAGACGTACAAAGGAAACGTTAGTAAACATGTTCAACGAAATCAGTTTGCATGGATAAGGGATATTTCCTATGGAATCCTTACCACCCTGTTATTCACAAGATAACGAAACCTTGTCTGCGAATATTTAGTTCACAAACTCGATGAAATTACTTTTTGAGTCAATTCTCCAAATTTCGTTTCATTCTCAGGGGGCACTTTTGATGTGACGGTACATGAAAAGCAAGATGATGCTACCATAAATGTACTATACAAAGGCACAGGGGACCCTATGGGGGCATTAAAGTGAATCAAGAGTTTAAAAGCCTTTTGGACAAAATATTTGGTGTGCAGAAACTCAATAAATATCGCGAACAGTATCCTTCCGATTGGACAAGCTTGATGAACGATTTTGAAATAAAGAAGTGGGGCCGCCGGATCGTCGAGCAGCAAGCAACAACAATTCGCCTGCCATGCAGTTTTTTTGACTTGATCAATGATGATGTTAAAATGACTCTAAAACGCCATGCGGATGGAGAAATCAAAATTCGTAACAATGAAAATCTGTGCTTAAATTCAATAGTTATGAGGAAGCTGTTTCAGCCGGTGTTGGGAGCCATAAAAGCTCACTTGAAGGCGCTCCTCGACGAGCCAAGGCTTTCGAAAGTCACTGTGATGCTCCTTGTGGGAGAATTTGCAAATTCTCTGCTTCTTCAGGAAGGATTTAAGAAAGAGTTTTCCAGCAGGTGCAATGTGGTGTATCCTTGGTATGGCGATATAGCTATTGTGCTAGGTGCCGTCCTGTTTGCAAGAATCCAGACAAAACAACTAGTTGGAACTTCAGGGGGAAATACCTGGACCAACTACAAAGAGTAGGAGGCACCAAGCGCGTTGAATCTCATAAACCTTTTTTTAAACAGGCT